ACCCAACCCCCTTTCCCAACTGGGCAAGCCAGGTTCTTTTCTCACAGGTAACCCTGTGTCTGCCTCCACATCACACTTCCCACAGAAGATCACAATCCTTTCTTTACATGCCTGTCTTGCAGATTAGACTGTGAGCTCTTTGAGGGAAGGACTAAGCCCTATTCATCTCTTGGCAGGCCCGGGTCAAACACCACAGGCAGAGGCTCAATCAACATTTGATGAATGAAACTGCCAGCTCTGAATCCCTGGCTCTAAGTGCAGAAGGGCAGGAATGTGCTTGCCAAATATAAGCATGGTCCTGACTGAGCAGAGCCCTGGTCTTGGTTCCCTGAAGATGTCCCCCTGCGTTTGTTACCCCAGCCTCCACTTCCCTTCAGGCTGGCTCTCAGGCCCTTCTTCAGTCACATACCTCTGAATTGAGGAGCAGATAAGTGTCTCCTAAGTCTCAGCTCCTGTGGAAGAACCCTTCTGTGTATGTGTCTTGTTTCTCCTCTTCCTCCTTCCAAAATGCGTGATGTCCTCTTGTCTGGGTGTCCTCAGGGTGTCCTTGTCCTGGTCCCACAGGGTGCTGCTTGGAGGCTAGCATCATGTGGCATCCATGACTAAAGGCCCCCGAGCCGGGCCTAGCTAGAGCCAGCTCAAGCTTCTGCACTGAGGTCCAGATCCCCATGTGCTCCTCACCACACTGGGACTAGGACAGGTGGGAAGACAACCCTGCTGCCCACCCCCACCAAGCAGAGATGCTCTTGCTCTGTCTTCGGGATGCCACCACCTTTCTGAACCTGTCTCCTTATCATTTACCTTCTGGGGTTGATGGAAGGGTCCAGTGAAATCACTGAACACCAAGGGTCTGGGTAAGTTTTATCCAAACATAAGAGATCAAGAGGCCCCACTAATGTTTTACTACCCTTCTTGGGATTGTGAAGTCTGGAGGGAGGAAGGAAGACAAGAGGCATGCAGGGGTCAGCAAAACCTGCAGTAATGGGCTTGGCCACAAAGTCTCATTCTGTAGATGCAAATGCCAAGACAGGCTGAAAGGGTTGCCCAGGGGTCCCAGAACCCGGCTTGTTCCTCACTAGGCCTTGTCCAAGGCTGTGGCCAGGTTGGCAACTGTCCTATTAGCTTTGCCAGAGGTTCAACCCAGACCAAAGAGGGGTTTACTGAGGCTGCCTGCCATGTATTTCCCCATTTTCACATAAATGCCCCCTTGTCTCCACAGGCCTTGGGCCTGAGAACAGCCTCTGAAACACTGGGGATTCAGCAAAAGCAACAGAAAATGGGATACAGGTTGGGATTATGAGAGTGGCAGGAGGGGGAAGGGGTGCCCGAGCCTCTAAAGGCTGAGAGTGAGAGTAGGGCTAAGATTGGGCCATGCCCCGACAACTCCTGGTTCTCTCTGAACACAGCCCATCTGAGCCTTCTTTGGGAGAGGAATCTATTCATCCTGTCAGCAAGTGTTGCTGAACACCTTTGTGCCAAGCACTGCATGCCAGGACTGTAGAAATAACTCAGACATAGCTCCTGACCTCCAGGACTTCCAGATGGGAGACACAGGGAGGGGACGAGCTGGGGATATCGGAATGTTTTTGTTTTTTTTCTCTAGGAGCTGGCACATCAACTTTTTTTTTTTCCTTTTTGAGTTGAGTCTCACTCCATCGTCTGGGCTGGAGTGCAGTGGCACCTTCACGGCCTCCCCAACATCGACCTACTGGGCTCAGACGATCCTTCCACCTCAGCCTTCCAAGTAGCTGAAACTACAGGCGTGCACTACCACACCTGGCTAATTTTATTTTTTTTATGTATTGTAGAGATGAGGTCTTGCCAAGTTGCCCAGGCTGTTCTCGAACCCATGGGCTCAGGCAATCCCCTCACCTCGGCCTCCTAAAATGCTAGGATTACAGGCTTGAGCCACAGCACCCAGTCAACACATCAGCTTTTAAAGGATGGACAGAATGTAGGCAGAGCTGGAAAGGACACTCTAATTCAGAGGTCCCTCAGTATGTGGGTGGAAAGGTTTCACTGGAATAAAAGGCTAAGATAAGCATAGTGCCTTAGAGCGCATAAAGACCCTTTTGATGGTTCAGCTGTAGCATCAGCTGTGGGGACCACTGCATGAAGTTAGAATGCTCTGCTGCAAAATTTAGTGGTTTATATTCCAAATCAGTGACCAAATTTGACGCCCTTTATTCTTCAGCCCAAAAATAAGGCCAGAAACCAAAAAGTAAAGTGTGGTGTGTGGTACCTTCAATGAACATGCCAAATAACCTGTGCTCAGAAATGACTGCTTTGTGTCTACAGGTCCTAGAGGACAGCTATTTTAGAATCATGACTCCAGGTGCCAACAATGGATCCACTACATCATAAATAAAAACTGCCCAATCCTTAGCCATATGGGATGTCTCATATGATGTGGAAAATAGGCACAAAAGTGGGCTATAGTGTTGGGGTTCTCACAAACAACAGAAACCTACTAGTTTAACCAGAAAAATTTTATTGGAAAGCTATGCAGAGGCTTGGGGAATTGGCCACCAGCACCATCAGCATGGGACCCACACCACCGTACCCACCCCTACCATCATCATCACCACCAAAACAGCAGCACAGAGACAAATGCTTCAGGAACCTCTGAATTCCTCCATCCAGATTTGGAGTACTGGGCATGAAAGTCTGGTGGGCTGTGGTGAAGTCCCAGGTCCAAGTAGAAGCTTCTCGGAGCCCCAGGAACACAGGTCTCAGGCTCTGTGGTCTTCTTTTGTAGAGCATGCCTTACGTCCACCAAGACTCTGCAATTGCAGGTTTCTCCCATATCATCATGGGGCTTCAAGTGCTAGGTAGGTGACCTCTTCTGTGGATAAACGAATTCTGACTAAAGAACAAGTTAGGGTCATTGCTTTGCTGTAGCCACAGGGAGAAAGATGATCAGGATCCCAGCGTGCTCCTTAAATATACCTCCTTGTGTGGTGCTGGTCAGGGCACAGCAAAGGTTAATGGCAAACCACCACAACCACACCCAAAAAGGGCCCTCCAAGGACTCTGGTTCCTAGACATTCACAACTAGCTGAGGTGCAGGCTGAAGGCCAAGGGTAAATGCACAATGGCTCATGGAGAACAAAATAATAAATATCAGCCTGACCAGTTGCAAAAAAAAAAAAAAAAAAAAAAAAAAGACTGGTTTCTACTCATGATTCTGTAACTGCAGTCAGAAAATAATATTTTTATTTCCCTAAATTAAAAAAAAATTGATTTTACTTATTTAACACTTGTGAAAATGCACTGACACTATAAAAATATCAAGCAGCCGGGCTCGGTGGCTCAGCCTGTAATCCCTCGCCTTGGGAGGCTGAGGTGAGTGAATTGCCTGAGCCCGCGGGTTTCAGACCCGCCTGGGCAACTTGGTGAGACCTCATCTCTACAATAAATCAAAAAATTATCCGGGTGTGGTAGCGCGCGCCTGTAGTTCCGGCTACTTGGAAGGCTGAGGCAGAAGTATCACTGGAGCCCAGCAGGTCGAGGCTGCGGTGGCCGGGAGCGGCCACTGTACTCTCCAGTCTGGGTGACAGAGTGAGACTCCAACTCAAAAAAAGAAAAAAAAAAAATCAAGCAAATACATTATTTCAGGTGAAAAATCAAGCCTCCTTCCAAACTGCTGTCCCTCAGACCTCTGCTGCACCACCTAGAGGTAACCCTGCCATCAGTTTGGCATGCAGCCTTCTAGACATTATGTCTTGAAGGCCCTTCCACATCAGTACATTCAACATTTAACTGCTGCACAGCATTATTTTCATACTACCAAAGGACCCAGGCAGAGATACAGGGCATGCGCCACTTGACACGGAGATAGCTGTTATCCAAATTGCTTTCCAAAACGGTTGCTTTAATTACATGCACACCAGCTACATGAGTCTTATTTCTTCTCCTGCTAACCCACACTAGATATTGTCATGATATCTGATGGATGCAGTTATGTTTCACTGGTGGTTAATTTACAGGTCAGTGAGTACCAGTGAGGTTTGAATGTTAACAATATCCAGGCTGTTGGCAATATGGGAAAACAGCTCTGTTGACAGGAGCATAAATGAGTACAATCACTTTGGAAAGCAACCTGGCAATGTCTAATTGGGGTAAAGATGCTCAAACCCAAGGACCCAGAAATTTCACTTCCATATACTTACTCCATATACAAAAAAACTTACACATGTGCACAAAGAGATATCTTTTTGGTATGCTCACTGCCACAAAATGCTGGGAAGAATCTAAATGTCCACCAATAGGGGAATGGGTAAACTGGTATTTTGTACACAGCAGTAAAAATACATAAACTAGATTCACATGTACTGGAATGGTTAAGTCTCAAAAACACTGTTGAGTGCAAAAATCAAGTTGCAAAATGATACATTCATTCTATCAATTATATCCATTTTAGAAACATTAATGCTCTATTTGATTATGAATATGCACACACATATATACATATACATACACACACTTATATATGTCTAAGGACATATCCGGCTGGGTGCGGTAGTTCAAGCCTGTACTCCCAGCACTTTGGGAGGCCAAGGCGAGAGGACTGTCTGAGTTCAGGGGTTCGAGACCAGCCTAGGCAACTTGGTGAGACCTCTTCTCTAAAATAAATTTAAAAAATAAGCCAAGTGTGGTAGCGCTCACCTGTAGTTCCAGCTACTTGGAAGGCTGAGGCGGAAGGATAACCTGAGCCAAGTAGGTCAAGGCTGCAGTGACCGGGAGCCTGCCACTGCACTCGAGCCTGGGTGACAGAGTGAGACTCCAACTCAAAAAAATAAATAAATACATAAATAAAAATAAAGACATAATCAAGATGTAAACACCATTTTCTGGGTAGTGCTTACCTCTGTGGAGGAAGGAAGGTAAACATAAATATGATGGGGGTGAGGAACATCTCCTATGCCTGAAAAACTTTACTGAAGAGAAAGGGGGAGAAAGGGGGGAGGAGGAGACTGGGAGAGCAGGCAGAGGGGAGAGATTGGGGGAAAGATTGGGAGAGATCTGAAGCAAATATAGCCAAATGTTAAAACCAAATGTTCACTCTATGTGAGTGAGTACCTGTATTATCCTATACTTGTCTGACATATTTTTCTATTCCATCTGTGTCACTGTGTTAAGCTATTAAATTGGCATATAGTTTTACTTTTTTAACCATTCCCTCTGAAAGTTACTAGGTTGTCAAAGGTGATTTTAACTCATAAATCCCTACAGTTTGGATTTATTCCTATCATTGTTTTGTATATTTACCATGCTTTCTCGTTATTTCTTTCCTTCTCTGTTTGACCTTTCCCCTCGAAGTGGTTGGACAATCATACACTGTTTTCCTCAATTTTTTCTTTGCTGTTGTTGGAGTCAGCATTTCCAGTAAAAAAAAGTTTTTCTACCATTGAGAACACCAAAAAATTCTTACTTTTGATGCAAATCCAGGTGGTCAATTAAAAAGTCACCTAGTACCACTGTTTCAGACAAAACCAAACAATCCCATTAGACCATGTAAAACCAAAAGAATAACTTTAATAAGCTTTTACAGCACTGTCATTATTACAGGGACATTAAACCATAACATGCAACAAAGATGATTTTGACTTTTGGAAATATTTAACAGATAAGCTTGACCTGACAATTACCAGCAACATATTCCACTGAAGAAAACAAATGCGACTTTTTTCAGGTTAGAAAGTGTTTTTACTGCAATCTCAAGTAGCATTTACAAACTTAATTTTCCCTTTCTAACCTCCAAAATTATGATTTTAATGCAACCATACACAACTGTTTTCACACTGGAAATAATAACGAGGAATCAACAGGTTTAGTCTAAGTGACTAATTGGTTATGTTTTCACTGTTAACTTTGAGAGGGCTCCTGCAGTAGTAGGGTGGGAAAAATGAGAGCAGGAGTAAACAGCCTTGATCTTTAGGGTTGGGGAGGAAACACACAGCGGCACACAGGGCAGGTGCCCGATTTTTGAAGCCAGATGGACACACACGGCTTATGGAAATAGTGATGGCAGGGCAACTCAGTTGCCACCTCCCCCTTCACATACTCACTACAGCATATAGCGCAGCATATGTCGTGACCAACCATGCTGTAATCATCAGTGACCAGGATCTTGGGAAGAGAACTGATGCTCTTCTTGCTCGCTGGTGGATTGTCCACCTCCACATTCACTGCAAGAGACTCCAAGTGTTCGAGGGCATTTTCTGTTGCCTGGGTCAGTCGTTCTTCAATGGTCACGTAAGCAGGGAACTGAGGATCCCCATAGGTAATGGCTTGAGCCACTCCTGGCCAGTCTACATCTTCACTCACACTGGAGTTATCTTCAATGTAGTTATTTCCATCTAGCACGAAGACTCCAGAATGCATCAACTCAGGACCAGAGTCATTATCTCCTTCACTGCTACTCTCATTGTCATTGTACTGGAGCCAAGGAATTTCTCCTTCTTCCAGGGATGCCTGGTCATCTTCCTGAAGCGGTGCTTCTCTAGCTTCCTCAAGATAATTGGGGCCAGTGCTGCTAGCACTGGCCCCGGCAGTGGCACTGGTACTGGGGCTAAGGTTGGGACTGGCACTCACCCAGGATTCCTGAGGTTCACGCTCTTCATTTCCCGAAGAAGTCTCCCAGCTTTTGCTACTGGAGGACGGAGTTTCTTCCTGACTTCGATACTTCGTAAGCAGAGCACTAACCCATCCTGTGTCACCGTCAGAGTCTTCATCACGGTACCTGTTGTAATCATCACCATACGTACAGAAGTCAGGGTTGGCCACGGTGTGTTGCTGCCTTGGCACCTTTTCTGGTTTCATTTGGCCACTCCTCTCTTCCCTCTTGTCTTCAGGGTGCTTTGACTCAGAATAGCCACTCGAACTCCTGCGTCTGCCTCTTCTTGTTGTGCCATTCGAGCAGCCTTCATCCTCATAGGCGGTCTCCCTCCACCTGGAAGTACTGTGTGGCATATCATCATCATCATCTTCATCATTGGCATCAAGAAATGGTTTTGGTTTCATGAAGTTTGGATTTTCCAGATTTCGAATTCTGGGCCTTACCACTGGTTCCTCTGCGCTGTTTGGGATGTTTCCCCCATTATAAATTATCACAGAAGGCCTGCTGGGAAGCACAGGTAAGTTCTGCTCTTCTCTCTCCTTCTCCAAGTGGTTACTGCTTCTAGCTACATTGCATTTACCAGAAAAAGACTCAGAGGCCACACCATTTTGTGGCAGGAACTCAGGTTTACTAGAAGACGACCTTGATGCAGGGGCTGGGTCTAAATTGTCATAATCCTCTCTCTCATCACTATTGAAATGAAAGGACTGTGGAGGCATCCCAGCCAAAAACATTGCCACTCTCTCTCTTGAGTAAAACTTTTTATCTTTGCGAGTTTTCCCTCTCACTACTGGTTTCTCAACAGGCCCAGTCCCCTCCTCCTGGCTGTCGTCTGCCCCATAAGAGTCAGCATGTCCATAGGCCATTGCTCTTCTGCGACCTGAAGCCCTATACTCTCTTGGTGGATACCTGGAACAGGCCTCATTATCAAGACTCAGGCTGATTCTGGAACTCTCACTGTCATCCCACAAATGACGAGTGGTGGAAAATGGTGATCGGCTCCTCTTGGTGGTTTGACTGGGGGCTGATCTGTGTACTGGGCTATCAGATGTTGTCATTCCCTGGGTGGCACCACGTTCCTGCTGACTCGTGGATGGCCTGGAACTGACATAGGCATGCCTTCTTCCATACTTCCTGCCTGAACTGGACTGATACCCTCCTGCTGGTTTGGGCAATTCAGGCTTGCTAGCTTCCTGACCCATTGCTCTGACTTAGGAGGGTTTCCAATACAGCTGGGGCTCAAGCTCCTGCTCCCTGTACACGTTTTCAGAGATGGGAAAGTCAAATCAGTTCAGGATAAAGGAGTACTTCATCAGACGGGTAACAGAAAGAATTAGGGGCCTTTAAAATTAATTTCGCTTTCTTCAAGGGCCTGGAGTAGCATTCCAGTGACGGTCAGGTGTAGATCTGGAACACATTTTTAATGTTGGCAAAATGAATACAAGAGTGAGTCTGCAGGAAAACCAGACTTACGGGAGACTCTGACAGAAGCTAGGGGTGACTAGACACTGGGAGAGTGGGTGAAGTGCTGTGGGATGGTGCCAATTGAGAAAAAAAGACTGCTGTGAACTTTTTGTGAGGTGTCTGCACTTTTCTGAGCCCTGCACAAACAGAAGAAATGCAAACTGGAATAGAGTGAAAAATGTAGATCAGTGAGTATGTGAGTGTGTGTGTGTGTGTGTGTGTGTG